TCCATTGTCCTGTCATTGCAGTTCCTAACCCAGAGTCCCTCTGTGGCTCCTTGTAGGCCCTTCAGATATTGAGAAGTTGCTGTGAGGTCTCCACATCTCTTTGTTATTGCTTGTTGATACCCTCAGCATCTCCCCACTGGAAACAATCTCTCTTTTTTAACTTCCACTGTTCACATCCTCTAATGACTCTGAGTCTGCCAAGCCATTCCTCAACCTTTGCCATGTCATACATGTTTAATTTTTTTTCCAGCCTGGTTTTTTTGGAGAGGTCCTGCAGGAGCTGTGCACCCAAGCCCATTGAGATTCCAGGGTAGCTGGATACTCAGCTCCCTCTTGCTCCTTTGAAATTCCCAGCTTTCATCTTTCTCTTTGCAAGTCATTCCCTCCTGCCGCTTACTCAGTTCCATATATATTTGGCTCAATTTTTTACATTAGTTAACTTGAAAGAGTAAGGCCAGAAAATCAATTATAAAACTAAATTGACTTCTCAATTGACTTTAAGAGAAATTCAACAAATAATATTACAGGATATTAGTTACAGTTTGCCGACTTTGAATTTTTTGCATGTTTCCCGTGTACTCAGCTTGATTAAATGAACGTTTTTCCCACAGAGATTCCTTATTATTCAAAACTGGTAAAAGTGGGGAGCTTATCATATCAGCTCTGGCTTCTGAACACTATGGCTCATCAGCACAGTGAGAATTCCAGCTTCAGAGCAGCATAAAACTCATCATTTGTTTGGATCCTGGCAAATACCGGATAGATTTTGACCTCTTAGACTGGTCTGCTGCCCACCAGGAGGATATTGCAGAGGGAAAATGGTCCTGCCAGCCAGGAAATCTGGGGGCTCTATGACAGCACTGAGCTGCATCAAAGCCCTGTAATCAGGCACAATGGGGGACATGCTATAGAGGGGGAAAATACTATTTTATTAGAAGAATTTACTTATCTACAAATGATGCATATTTTCTTTCTGCAGGTTCTTATTTTGAAGGGAGTGAAAGCAAGTATTTCTGAGATGGCACAGCAAACTTCTGTCACAGCATCCATTGATTTATTTTTTTCCCCCCCTTTGGTAACATAATTCAGAGAAACATTAATTAGGAGTAGCTACTGAGATACCTGCTTTGATTTTTCTTTTTCTTCTTCATTTTGGTTTATTGGCAAATCATTTAAGTTATTAGTGTTAGTTGTGAGGATGAACAATCAGATTATTTGTAGAAAAGGCAGTAAAGTATTGGTAAACACTTAGCATAGGTTTAATTTTCAGATAATTAGAAACAATTGGGTATTTTAGCTGACCAGGGGTATTTGAATAAGATTACCATTTAAAATTATTTGACAAGGTGTGTGTCAGCAAGAACATAATAGAATTTCCTTCACATTGTGTAAGCGTAAGGAAAATAGGCCCTGACAGTGTATTTTAAGGCCAAAACAGACTTTTTTCCTCTTTGTACTGCTATTTATTCTGTTCAGTTATGCTATCATCTGTGCAACTAATCCAGTTTGCAGCAGTCTGAGATCTAGATTTATGCTGCAAGGCCATTACATTTCCCTTTCATATTTACAATACAGGAATTATCCATACTTTCACCCATGCAGGGTCAGTGTTTGCAGGCAGTTTGTTGCATGATAATAAGCCTGTGGTTTTGAACTTAGTTGGTTTTTGTAATTAAAGTACTCTATAGAAAAACCATGTTTTAAATCCCCAAGCATTTATGAAAATGTATTTCTACATGCATTGGGTTTTTTGTTTCCTTTGCTATTCCTGAGCAGTCCTAATGAGAAACTGTTAGGAATTAAATAGGTCATCTTGTTCAATAAATGGCTGTGTATGTCTTTAGTAGGGATTTATTTCCATTAGGTTTGCTGTAACCACTTCCACTCACCCATGCTGTACTATAAACAGCCCCATGCCAAAGTGCTAAGAGAGTGAGGATGGAGGGCTGCTAAAACCAGAGAGTTTTCATGCCTATGATGCACAAACATAAATGAAAACCTGCTTAAGTTGGTTCATATTCCCATAAAAATGCAGACAAGCAAATCCTGGTTTATAGGCAGTCAGGCATCAGTATTGGTATCACATACTTGGAAAAGTCACCCTGTCTTGTCAGCGTCATAACTGATATGCAATTACTGATGTCCTTCCTAGAAATGAAAGCTTAGCTGTTAACAATCAGTTATTATTTAAAAATGCATTAATTGGGCAGAAATCTTGTCCCATTATTCAGCACTATGGCATCTCACTAGAAGTCTTGGAGAGAGGTGCAAAGTAGGGCACAGTAAAATGGCACTGTTTATCCTGTTGTTCCCAAGGATCCTTACCAGAAAGCATGGAAATAAATAGCACAGGAGTGCCTGAAATAGCCAGATCAGGATGGATAAAATATGACCTTCAGTAATATTGGATTCTTACCTCTGAACTGCATTTCTTTTCCTTCTTATGCTTTTAAGTATTGTTAGAACAGACATGGGATTGGTCCACACCTCGATGTGGCCATGGATGTGCATGTGGCAAACAACCAACCCCAAGCTGGGGATGTCTGTATTATTTACTGAGGTCTCTGTTCTGTCCATCCCTCTTGTGTACAGGTGTGTGATCCGAATATTATGCAAACCCGAACTCGACAAGTGCTAAGGTCTTCTGTCAGTTCAAAGCCCTGCCCTGAAGAGTCACAAATGAAGCCATGTATTCTTAACCAAAACTGCTTCCAATATCAGTACAACCTAACAGGTAGGTACAACTTTCCAATATACTCTCAGTCTGTGTTTTTAGTCAGGTTTTCTTGTGGTGTTGGTTAAAGTCCTAACATTAAAAAAACTACATGTAGACATCATTGATTTCTATAAAATTAATTGCATGTCTGCATTTTTACAGGTTAGTGAACAAATGCACCATTTTTGTATTTAAGTTGTCATTGCAGGTACACTGGAGGTAAAACAGGTTAGATGGGATGATGGGTTATCAACAGAATTAACTACAAAATTCCAATTTAAAGAGTATCATCTCTGATGTTCTGGTGAAGCAAATACTACCAATGGAAGTCTGGTTTGAAGGCAGTGTGGTTTATATGGGTGGGCAGAGGATCTTCAGAACAAAATCTATTACATAGGACCATAGAAGCAATTAAATCTGTTGCAAACAAATAACAAAAACAAAAAGGAAAAAATCCTTTTGTTTTGGATAGCTCAAATAAATGAGAAAGGCAGAGAGAGCAGAGATCTAAGAGGACTTTGGGGGCTGATGGGGAGGGAGAACAAAGCAAGATAAAATATCTGAGTATAAACTCAGCCTGTTTGTAATAAAAGCCCTAGAAACACAGAGGCAACAGGATGATGCCTTTTTTATCATCACATTTCAGAAATGCAGGGCATTTATGTGTTCATGTTTATCAGAGGCAGAAGAGATAAAGTAGTAGGTTTTCTTCTCATCCTTCCTATGTATTTGAGGGGTATGGAAATTTTAGTGGCTTGTGTTATGCTTTTTGTTTATTTTAAATGATGCTTTAAAACTCAGCTCAGTTTAGTTGTATTCTGGCCATCATAATTTCAGACACATAACAAGAGATTAATTTTCTTCCACTAGAAATACTGGTTTTATTTCATGAGTATTAGAGTTTAGTTTTAAATAATGGATAGTTTTGCCTTGAGACAAAACAATGGTTGAACCAGAGTTCCCCTTCAGAAACTTCCCCAGCTGCTTTATCAAAGTGAAATTTTACTTCAGACAATGCAGTCTCGTAAATGTGCCAACTGGATTGAACTGATATACTTTATCAGTGTTTAACATGTGCACTCTAACATACCAGTTTAGTAAGAGGATATGGTATCAGAATGTGAGGAGAGTGGTGTTTGCTCTGAGACTTGCCTGGTTTTAAGAGCAACTTTCTTTTATGGGGGTTGTTCTTGGGTTTGGGATGCCCTAACCTGGGGAAGTGCTGTCTTAGGTGAAGGTAACACCCATGTTCAAGGCTTCATGGCCAGGCTGGATGGTTGTCTAGTGGAAGGTATCCCTGCCCATGGCAGAGGAGTTGGAAATAGATGATCTTTAAAGTCCCTTCCAACCCAAACCAGTTTGTGTTTCTATGATTCTAAGTTGAGTAGAAAGGCGACCAACAGCAGTGCACACTTTGCTTTGTGTCTGCAGGCTGGAGTGGGTGCCAGCTGGGTGCCAATGCCACCTGTGGACTTGGGGAGCGTCGTCGTCTCCTGAGCTGCCAGCGCAGCGATGGGGCCACTGTCAGCATGCAGCTCTGCCAGCAGGTGAGGAGGGCAACGTGCATGTGTGGCCAGCAAACAACCAGAGACTCTGGTGCCTTCTGATCCCCACCAAGACATCATCCATAAATAGTGGAGGAGCTGTGTTTGGTGCTGGGAGCACAGCAGATGGGTGATTTGGGAGGTAAAGGTGTCGCCAGGGTGTTAATGGGTGGGATCACTCCTTGACTTGAACACACAGGGAGTGGCTACCAACCCTGCACCATCCCATGGAGATTGTGTCCTATTATTTGAAGTCTGGGATTTTCCTTTTGGAGTAAAACCCGAACACTGAGGGAAGTGAAGTTCTTCAACACTGAAACCACTTTCACCCATCACATGCTTGGGAAAACTCCCTGAAAACGCCACGATGGTGTTTCGCTGGAGTTGTTTCCAATTTTTGTCTGGGTGCCTAGCTGTGGCAGGAGGTGGCTGGGACCTAGAGAAGCTGATGCCTGTGTTTTGCTGTCACCTCACAGCTTGGCCTGGAGAAGCCCATGCAGACGAGCAGCCGGTGCGTGGTGGGGTGTGCGGTGGACTGCCAACTCTCTCCATGGTCAGCCTGGTCGCAGTGCTCCCACACATGTGGTGCTGGCGGTGAGTCCCTACCAGCTCTCCTGTCCCCTTTCCCCCCCAGCATCTCAGCAATGACCTGCAGACAGGACCCCCAGCCCCAGGTGGGCTCAGACAGCCCCGGAGTAGGGGTACGAAGCTCAAGGATAGCTCTGAGCCACACCGAATCCTTCGGAAGTGATTTTGGACACCCTCCAGGTCCTGTGGTGTGTAGGGTGTTTTGAACAAAGCAGACTATTTTCAAAGTGCTCTAAAGTGAAAAATGCAACTTAGGAAACAAGTAGTTAGATGCCTGGATAATTGTTTATTAATTAATTAAAACTCAGAATTCAGTTTTAGCAAATGTTAACCCCTGAGACAGGGAGTAGAGGTAGCAAAGAGCTGGGGAGTGTTACAGGATTCTTACTAATTAAATAAATAAGTACAAATCCTCTGGTGAAGTAACACTTAATAACATAATTGCATCCTATTGAAGAAAACACACAAAGAATATTTTTCATCATTTAGTATATCCCTTTGTCTCCACCTTGTATCCACAGGTCCCTTG